ATGAAAATTATGAATGCAGACGTGATATTTGTTGCTTTCCCGCGTGGTAACTTACACCTCCCTTCAGCATTCAACTACAAAGTGTTCTTATCTAATGATAACGGTCATTTGCAAACTTGTGAATGAAGAAAGTAAAACTGATCCTACTTCTAAAGAAGCTGTGTATAATATTTTGCTGCTTCTTTGAAATATATAAAAGCTATTCTAAATTGTTTTGGAGTACGTTTAATTTCGGATAAGCCGCAAACTACCTTGTGTTATAACTCATATTTTAACGTTGTACTTTTACTTTTATCTTCTTCACCACTGATCGGCTCGTTAACCGACTTGGGCGATCGGTCATGTCTCTGTTACGCACTGTTGGCAAGTACTGGGCATGCAGCCATACACCGGCTCCTGAATGTATCTGAACCTGCTCGTGTTGGTCAAGTCTAGGCTGAAATAATTTAGGCATACCTTTTGAGCATGGCAGTTGTATTATTGACATTGCTTCATTCTTAATCCTTATAAGTGTTCATGGTACTGGTAGTCCAAGCACTTTTTATTTCAAATTCTCAATATGCAAACTGCACATTAAGACATTTTCAGCCAGTGCCGGATTTAGACCTGTGGAGCCCCATGGGCAGCCTCTTTGTGAAGCGAGCCTAAACATCTGGGAGTTCCGGGGGGCTCTGTAAGCCCCCCGGGAAATTTTTGAAATTTGAACACTTCTTTGGAGAATTTTGAAGCTATATGCAGTTATATTGAGGAAATTAGAACATTGAGAAATTTTTAATTAACTGTATACTTATTGATAGTGTACACATGACAACCGATGTGCAGATACTACACGACCCAACCCCCTCAGACCGACTGTCAACAAACACAGCGCCCTGGTGGCATTCGTAATGGAAGTGATAATGAAAAAAATATTTTATTTGTTTTTTTTAATCTCAATTTCGTTATTCCATGTAGTTCATTTTTAATCAATATATGTTTGTGGAATTCTAAATATATTATTAGCAACACAAACAATACCATTCATTAAAAATATACGGTTCATAGGAAAACCAGGTATTCATGAATTTCAAGGAGTAGCTAGCCTAATTTCTATTGTGGGGTACGAGATGTTTGGTTCATGTTTCTCCTCCATCCTGTGTAAGTGGTCACTCCGGGGGTCACCATTTGTGGGGTTATGTGATATTTGGTTCACACTCAGGATGGGATGGAGAAAGGAAACTCACAATGTTGTATTGGATGTACATTGTACAATGCAGCTTGGTGCTGGGAAGTGGCAGCGTGGTTACAAGCGTGATGTAGAGAGAGCTGGTTGGGGAGGGTGCTCAGAGGAGGACCAGCTTGTGGGTCGCCATGCTCGCCGGCGGGAGCGAGGGCTGCCAGGCAGGAGCGGAGGAGGTGGTGTTACTTGATGCGGCAGTAGGAAGAAAGAGAGATAGGTCACCACGAGGTCAGGTCTTATATAGCGGAGGTAGGCATGGCTTAATAGTTGACCTCCGTCATGTCAGGCGGCGCTGGTTGACCTAGACCACGAGGCATACACTCGGGAATTCGCTGGGTCGGCTACTCAGGACAAACAGCGTTAGTAGGGGAGGAATCCACTACACTATCACGCTTCTTGCTGAATATAGTTTTACGTGATAGAGTAGATAAACATGAATTTTAAAGAATGAAAATAAAAATAATCCAAATGAATAAACAAATTAATAAAATATTGTAATATGTGGAGGGGGGACCGGTGGTAGAAGCGGTACCGTTCTTGCCTCGCAAGCGAGATGTCACAGGTTCGATTCTCGGCCCGGTGGAAGTTGTTTGGACTTACTTCGTAGCCCCCATTAGTCCCTGTTCACCTAGCAGTAAAGTAGGTACCTGTTGAAAGTTGCGAATTCGTATTCAGGGAGTTGTTGGAGCTTCCAATAACTTGATGACTACCACTGACTCTTCAGGCTTCTACGCCCTTAACTCGTGAGACATAAAGGCAAGCATGAACTTAGCATGCTTCCCTGTTGGGCGCTGTAAACGCTTCTGCGCTTCACCTTACACAAGGATGTAGGGGAGTGCCCAATAAAAAAAAAAAATATGTGGAGGCCCCTGGACAGCTGCCCACTTTGCCCACTCCTGAATCCGGCCCTGTTTTCAGCATTTATAAAGTCTTTCTCCTCTTGCACAAGTGAATCCATCTTCTCAGATCTTTATCCTTCGGAAAGAGATGGAAAGTTATATCATCCTTGTTTTTAATTTGTGATAAACACCCAAAAACTGAGGAAGTGCTCGGCATGATTGCTGCTGTTGAATTTGTGCGGCAGAAGTGACGTTGCGAACTCTGAAAGTCCGAGAGGTTCCGTTTTCTATGGTGGGTGAGCCATACAGCTTTTCGGGGATAACAAGGCGAGGCAGTGAAATAGGCACAATCCAACAATCCTCTATATCGGTCGCCTGGCAACCTTACAGTATACTCAAGCAATTAAAGCATTGTACTCAAGGGCTTCACCAAGTCATTGAAATTCTCAAGGGGTTAATTTAGTTATGGGACTCGGGGTGTAATCATCGTATTCAAGGGGTTAAGTTGTAGTGGATACTCTCCCCTACAAGTGCCGACTGATCCCGCCGTCTGCTTACCGGCCAATCAGCATACAGCCAGTGATGTCCACCGACTTACTCTCGGATGCGGACAGACATATAGCAACACCTGGAGGGGTCCAGGCTTCCACAGCTTGCCAGGATCAGGGAGTTTCACACCTTTCGCGTTCTCCTCCGTGATTGGCTCCCGCGCACCTTGATTCCTGATCCTGAAGAATCGTATAAATACACGGCAGGCTATGTCACGGGTTCGATTCCCGGGCAGGCGGAAGTTGTTTGGACACTCTTCCTAGCCCCCTTGGTCCCTGTTCACCTAGCAGTAAAGTAGGTACCTGGTGTAAATCGAAAGGTTGCGAATTCGTATTCAGGGAAAGTTGTTGGAGCTTCTAAACTTGGAACTGACACAATCCGAGGAGTTGTGACCCGAGGATCACACACCAACCACAGACAAAAACCCAATACGTGCGCTATGCGCTAACCAAATAAACGCAGTCGTGTAAAGCCACGGCACTATCTCTCCCACTACAATTCCCTTCCTAACCTCCTGCTCCTTCCTCTGTCATCTTCCCCGCCCTGCCTTTCACTACCAACAACTTTTGGAGCTTCTAAACTTGGAACCGTGGACATCATTCTACTCGCATCGACTGGACCAGCAACAACTCTCTACAGCGCCTCACCAACCAGCTCCCTCAGTAAGCTCCTCGCCCAACAGGACCTCTGAGAAAGCTTCTCATCACCTAGTAACTCCCTAGCACTGCACTGTACAACAATATATATACAGAAAACGCATTGTGAGTTTCTATTCTACCTCAACCCTGAGTGTGAGATATCTTACATGTACGTACGTTTGTGAGCCCATACGAAGAGGTAATAGACAACTAAAGAGAATTTGACAACTGGCCACATACTGTACACTACAAAGTCATTGTACTCGGAGTTAATTTATCGCATTCAATGAGCTAATTTAGTCATGGGACTCAAGGGAATAATTAAGTCATCATACTTAAGGGGTTAATTAAGTCATGGTACTCAAGGTGTTAGGTCATTGTACTCAAGGGGTTAATTTGGTCATGGTGCTCAAGGGGTTAACTAAGTATTCGTACTGAATGGGTTAAGTCGTCGTATTCGAAAGTTAATTAAATCATGTTACTCAAGTAGTTATGTGCTATAATGATGTGCATTTGCCAGGATATAGTACGGCAGACGGCTAACGCCAGGAGTTGTTCGATTTCTTTTTTTTTTCACAAAATTCTTTAGATGATAGTAAGTAATAAAAATGCTACAGCTCTTTATATTATTTATGAGCCTTTTTTTTAGTTTTTTCTATCTACGATCATAAATCACCTTAAGTGGGCAGGATATAAAGGGAGAGGAAAATTGCGGGATAAAACACGACCAAAACTGATCACATGACCATAAAATAATGCATCGACGTGCTTTTCAAGCGAAAAAAAAAATAATAGTATACCCTAAATATTAAGTCGTAATATTTGCAGTGTTCGCACGTGTTGTGTCTGTTGTCGTGTGCTCTTCGTGTGTTTCAGATTGGTCGGAGCGTACTCTCACGTCCACAAAAAAACGTAAAATTACACCATGCCGCTTCTAGAAAGTTGCTTTCATTGGTACAAGATATCAAAGTAAGTTCATTCTGTTTAATATGCCGCCCCCCGCCTAGAAAGTTAGGTAGGTTTTTTGGTTAGGTTGGAAATTATCATGTAGGAAACCGCTCATACACGTGTACATAGATAGATATTATCATAGAAGTTCACATTGATACAGCATATACATAAAGTGCCGCTAAACACTATAGATAGACAGCGTAAGTATATAAACAATGGTAACAGTAAATAACTAAGTACAGTACTGCTAAATATGATAAGATATATAGAAACAACTTGCTTTAAAAACAATCTGAAAATATGACATCAAATTTACAGACACTTATTTATTAACAAACTCAAGATCAAACTGAACTAGTGACTATTTTCCAAACGCTTCTATGCTGAGTGACAAGGATGATTAATAGGTTGTTATTACTTGTTGAATATGTCACTGTTTTGACTGTTGTTGAGTGAACGTATCTGATCAAACTAAGCCATCAAAATAATTTTAAGCCATATTCAGACGTCTTAATCAAAGATGTTATCATTTTTATCTTATATATCTTCACTACCAGATAACGTGTTGACTTTCGTAGCGCCCAACAAGCTGGAGCAGGATTTTACAGGGGCCATGGCAGCGAGTAGCATGACTCAACCTTCATATTGAGGTGCCAATGTACCCTTTACTGAATAGCTAGTGTAATTTTATTATTCACGAAATTTTCTTATATAATAGAACATTCGGAATTTATTTATTTTCACTATGAACTGATACTGTAGGGAGGGTGTGGTGTGCTGTGTATGTGTAGCAATTGATAGCAGCGCAGCACAAGTTACAACTCCCTCAACAAGCTGCAGGCGGCGGCTGTGGCGAGCCACTGGGAAGACTAGTTCCACCCGGCTCAGGGTTGTGTGAGTAAGATAGCTCTGTGTGCTGTGTCTTCTGCTGCTGTAAAAGGTATGTGCTAATACCTCACACCATGGGTCCAGCTTCATGTCGGTGCAGTATTTGGCATTTCTGATTATTCTTTTTGGACTGTGATGATAAGTTTTTTGACCATGTGCTGTTATTGTACCGCGTGACCCTGAGAAATTATTATTTTTTGTTAAATGTCATACATAAGTTTCATACTGCCATGTAAAAATACCTGAACTACACCGGTGAGGTCTTACAAGTTGTAGCTGGGAACACGTCTGTATTACGGAGTTAATGTTGTATTGACAGAACCATGGCGACGGCCCGGTGCCACGGAGGAAATATTATTCCTAGTACAGTGAAGGGCAGTCTGAGTTAACATGATAAAGCTGTATCTCACTCAATTTTTAAAGACTGGTAGCAATTGTAATTACTAACCAAGGTACACGCTTACATGCCTCGAAGTGCAACAACACATTTTAGCTAAACACCAGTATTACTACGTGATATTTAAAAACAAAATTCATTACGGAACATAACTAATTGAAGGTCAAGTTTAGCTAAAAGATTGAGATTCGACAGTTTAGTGGGGTGTGCATTTGTAAATAGAAAAGATGAAATTTTTATAATAATTTATATTGGAAAAAGTCTGGTGGGTCAATTAGATTCAAGGAATTAATTTGAAATGTGTTCCGCACGATCTCGTTCGTCCTAGGAAAGGTAAGTTCAGTATAGAGGAAGGGGGCGGGTCTCCCAGGTTCTCGAGCGACGTGTTGACACCACCATATATAATTATTTATTCAGTAAAGTTTCACACAAACTTCACATTGGTTCATCAGGTATCGTAAAAAACAGTAAATTTAAATCTTTACGAGTCAGGGAGCACCAACAAACGCTATCCCTACCTATTAAAATTATGGGACCATTGAGGCGTAGGATCACCTGAGGAATTTCCACCCCAACTTATTTTCCTGAAGATTAACCTTCATAGACACATTCCTTCTCTATCATTGTGTACCTGCACTGTCTCTGTGCAGTACATTGTTTGTATACCTGCACACGTAAACATGGTATACGTACAGTGTATGTATATTGTTTATCTTCTGCGTGCCATTTATTCATGCTGAATCAATGTAACTTGTATGACGATTTTATTGAATAAATATCCATCTAACAGCGCCACATAGTCGCTGGCAGATCAATGAAACTCCTGGCAACGTTTCCAAAACACAAAGCTGCCAGACGCTGCTCTTCCCCCACCTACAAACACAAGGACTTGAAGCAATTTTTTTTGTAATACAGTACATTAAATATAGTTAATGGCTAGTTAGTTAATTAGCGATTTGGTTCGATATATATGTTAAATGGATATAGTAGATAGATAGTCTCTGTTCTTAAAAGTCAATTGGATACTATATCGAAAATAACTTAAACTGACAACACAACAATGGTTGCCCATCACGTAACGATAGCCGGCCCAAAGGCGTGAATTTGTTTAAGATGTAGAAGCTGTCGCCAATACAACAGCTGCACCCTAAGTTAACGAGCTGCTTGACCCAGTATCAAGGAGTAGTCCGAGAAGACCGGACAACTCGTCACCTGCACTCGCTAACCATTACCCTGGAATATGATCCGCAAATAGATTAACATCCAGCTGGTTCCCAATTAGACAGAGGCAAATGGCGTAAAGAAACTTGCCCATAGTTTCACTCTGCCCGGGGATCGAACCCGGGTCAGCTCGCTTGCCAGGCGAGCATGCTGACCATTACAGGTCATACATATACACACACACACACACACACACACACGTTTGTTTAGACTAATAACAAACCCGTCGAAAAGAAACCCATAGACAAAACCACACTGAAATATTATAAGTAAAATGCCACCCTGGACTAGGGTGTGTTTTCTTGGGGCTGGGATAGGGCATGTAGCTGAGAGGTTAGACAGGGTTTTGTCAGGGGAGGGTACCAATCCAGTAGTGTGCCTTAGTGTAGGAGGAAACGACATAGGAAAGGTTAGGAGTGAGGAACTTTTCAAGAGGTATAGGGAGGCGCTGGGGAAGATTAGAGATAGGGGAGGGATCCCGATAGTATGTGGTGTCTTGCCTAGAAGAGGAGTTGGTCGTGAATGGCTGTCCAGGGCAATTGCTATAAATTGCCGACTGGAAAAACATTGTGCAAACAATGGTTGGGCATTCATTGATAACTGGCAACGATTCTATGGCAACGACTACCTGTACAGTCGTGACGGAGTACACTTGTCTCGTGCGGGGGTAAAGACGTTGTCTGCATCCCTGGAGCGTGAAATTGTTACTCCAAAAGGGGGGGGGGGTGTTTCGCCAGTAGAGATTCAGATTCAGATTTGCCCCCGAGGGGGCTAGTTTATTGGGCACCCCCTTACATCCTGTGCAAGGTGAAGCGCAGAAGCGTTTACAGCGCCCAACAGGGAAGTATGAAAAGTTCATGCTTGCCTTTATGACTCGTACATTAAGGGCGTAAAAGCCTGAAGGGTCATAGGTTTTGTCAAGTTACATAAAGTGAGAGAATGATGAGTGTGTGGGGGGAAAGTTCCCGGTACATTTTATCTGTTTATGGCAAAGAGTGGCAGGTCCCTAATAATGTCAAATGCCAGGCCTGTGACTAGGAGGAGGGATATCGCCAGTGGAGAGAGATCGGGGTAAGTGGGAGTCAAAAAACAAGCTGGTCCTGGGAAGTAAAATTGGTTACTCAGGACAAGGGGTAAAACAGGACCAGGGAAGAGTAGGTTTAAATGTATACTATACAAACAGTAGGAGCGTTCGAAATAAAATAGACTTGCTGAGAGCGGTTGTATGTACCGAGAATGTAGACGTCATAGCAATCACCGAAACTTGGATGAATCTGGCGAGCAAATTTTTTTTATCAGAGTACCACATAGAAGGGTACAACCTTTTTCACAAGGACAGGGAAGGGGGTGAGGGGTCGCACTCTTCGTCAAGGATACATTAAAATGTTGTATTAATAATTCAATAAAGGGTGAAATAGGAACGGAGTCTGTATGGGTAGAAATCACGGAAGGAAGAGAAAAACTAATTATGGGAGTGATTTACAGGCCTCCAAGTCTTGGGAAGGAAGCAGCTCAGGAAATGAGTAGGGCAGTAAAATATAACAACCTGTGCATTATGGGGGATTTCAACTTCAGAAATATTGACTGGGACAACATTGTAGGTGACTATGAATCTGAAGACTTCCTAGACGCAGTACAGGATAATTTTTTGAAACAACTAATTACAGAACCTACTAGAGGTGACAATATATTAGACCTAGTATTAACAAATAAAGAAAATATTATCAGAGATATCACAGTAGGGGAAGAACTAGGTAACAGTGATCACAGAGAAATCAGGTTCACCCTAAATTGGGACACGAAAAACAATGACAATATGGTCAGAGTTCCAAACTTTCGGTTGGCGGATTATCAGGGGTTAAGAAGGTACCTAGGTGAGGTCACCTGGGAACAGTCACGTCAGTCACCAGTAGGAAGGGGTGAGGTCATAGGTGACACAACAATTGATCATGACTATAATATATTCACTAGTATACTACATAAAGCACAAGAACAAAATATACCATACAGAAAAATTAGGTCAAATAAGAATGAGCCAAAGTGGATGACCAGAAAACTTAAACATGACATAGGAATAAAGAAAGGAATATATAAGAAATTAAAGGAAGGGGAGGAGCAGCTCAGAAATAGGTATAGTGAACTATCTAGGAATGTTAAGAAAAATGTAAAGAAAGCAAAGAGAGACTATGAAATCAAAATAGCAAGAGAATCCAAGGCGAATCCCAAGGGATTTTTCCAGGTATATAGAACAAAGGTCAAGGACAAAGTTGGGCCTTTAAAGTCAGGGAGGGGAGAAGTGATAAATGGCAGTGATGACATGAGCAAAGCATTGAACAGCTACTTCTTATCAGTTTTCACAGAGGAAATTCGCGATGAAATTCCAGAGGTGGAACTCATATTTAAGGGAAAGGAAGAGAAATTAAAGAATATCACTATCAGAAAAGAGGATGTTCTTAAGAAGATAAATAAACTAAAGAAGACAAAATCCCCAGGGCCGGATGAAATTTTCCCTCGAGTCTTGAAAGAGTGTAGGGAACAGATTAGCGGACCCCTCGTAAACTTATTTACAAAATCATTAGACACCAGAGTTGTGCCAGACTTGTGTTAACAGGCAAATGTAGTACCCATATTCAAAAAGGGAGACAGAGCATCAGCGTCAAATTACCGGCCAATCAGTTTGACGTCAGTAGTGGGGAAATTTCTTGAATCAATTATAGCAGATAACATCCGATCGCATTTAGAGAAAAGCAAATTAATTTACGACTCTCAACATGGGTTTACAAAGGGAAAATCTTGTCTAACAAATCTGCTGACATTTTTTAGGAAAGTCTTCGAGGTAGTAGATAATGACGAAAATTACGATGTTATTTACTTAGACTTTAGCAAAGCATTTGACAGAGTACCGCATCAGAGGCTTCTGAGAAAAATTAAGGCTCATGGTATCGAGGGGAAAGTTTTAAATTGGATAAAATCATGGCTCGCCGATAGAACGCAGAGGGTCAGCGTAGATGGTGTTAAATCTGAGTGGGGTCGTGTAACCAGTGGGGTTCCCCAGGGGTCAGTACTAGGCCCACTCTTATTCATAATCTACATAAACGATCTAGATACTGGGATCAGCAGTGACATAAGCAAGTTTGCGAATGACACCAAAATAGGGCGGCAGATTAATTCAGGGCAGGATGCAAATGCATTACAGGAGGATCTAAATAAACTGCAGGGGTGGTCTGAAAAATGGCAAATGAAATTCAACACCAGCAAGAGCAGTGTACTTAATATTGGAAGAACAAATACTGTCAATGTATACAGCCTTAACAACATCAACCTAGAGAAGTCGACTTCTGAAAAAGACCTAGGGGTACTTGTAAGCCCGGACCTACAGCCTAGAAAACAGTGCGTTAATGTTCGAAATAAGGCAAACAGAGTATTGGGTTTTATATCTAGAAGTGTAAGTAATGAGAGTGCAGAAGTCTTATTGCAACTATATCTTGCGCTAGTCAGGCCGCACCTCGATTATGCGGTTAAGTTCTGGTGCCCCTATTATAGAATGGATATCAATTCACTAGAGTCGGTGCAGCGAAGAATGACGAAAATGATTCCGGGACTTAGAAACCTTCCATATCAGGATAGGTTAAAGAAACTAAACTTGCATTCCCTAGAACAGGGGTTCTCAACCAGGGGGGAATTTTCCCCCCTCAGGTTTTCAGGGGAACTGATACTAATATGGAAAAAATAAAGGATTTTCAGTATTATATGCATATTATTTGGAATGCACTTTTTGAGGCAGACAATCTTGGAAAGAAGGGGGGAATGACATTCTGACATATGGTGAAAGGGGTGCATGGGGCAAACAAGGTTGAGAACCACTGCCCTAGAAAGACGAAGAGTGCGGGTAGATATGATAGAAGTATTCAAGTGGGTGAAAGGAATCAATAAAGGTGATATAGATAAAGTTCTTTTAATATCCGAGCAGGATAGGACTCGGAACAACGGATTCAAGTTGGATAAGTTTAGGTTTAGGAGGGAGATAGGAAGAAACTGGGTTACAAATAGGGTGGTAGACGAGTGGAACAAGCTTAGCAACCTTGTAGTAAGTGCTGGAACGCTGGAAAGTTTCAAAGGGAGGCTGGATAGATTCATGGATGATAGAGTGTGGTAGTAACTCTCGACAGGAGCTGCCATGCACAGGCCAACCGGCCTATTGCAGACTCCTTATTTTCTTATGTTCTTATGTTATGTACACGAAAGCGCTTGGGAACTTCGTGTTTTCTTTTTCCTTGTGGTTATCAGCATATACCTGGATCACGCGCACCTACAGTGATTTATTTGCATATATATATATATATAATATATATATATATATATATATATATATATATATATATATATATATATATATATATATATATATATATATATATATATATGAAAAGGCACCCTGAAAATGTACACATTTCAGGTGGCTTTATTTCCCAGGGTACACAATATAGTTTGACTTTGTTTCCCAGGGTACACAATATAGTTTGATTTTATTTCCCAGGGTACACAATACAGAGAGGTTTTATTTCCCAGGGTACGCAATACAGGGTGGCTTTATTTCCCAGGGTACACAATATAGTTTGACTTTGTTTCCCAGGGTACACAATATAGTTTGATTTTATTTCCCAGGGTACACAATACAGAGAGGTTTTATTTCCCAGGGTACGCAATACAGGGTGGCATTATTTCCCAGGGTACGCAATACAGGGTCGCTTTATTTCCCAGGGTACACAATATAGTTTGATTTTATTTCCCAGGGTACACAATACAGAGAGGTTTTATTTCCCAGGGTACGCAATACAGGATGACTTGATATCCCAGGGTATTTCCAAGATGGAATTGTTCAGTCGTGTGAGAGAAGAGAGAGCGGTGTTGATCCATTGCATGATTTTACGCCACTCTTGCTTGACGATGGAATGCGCTGAGCGGTGTGTGTGTGTGTGTGTGTCCCGTCTCCCTCCACAACAGCCATCCTTGGGTTACATCCTGTAAGTCTGAGTCAGTTAGGTTGTATGAAGTTCACACAAAGCAGTATCGTGTTTGCCTCTCACCACTTGACTTATTAAATCAGGTTGTATATCAGCTTCGGTCCGAACCTGAGGCGTGTGTGTTGTCCACAAGTGGCACAGTACAGTGCATCATGGCGTAGAATGTAGATGATAGCAGAGGTAGATCTAGGGGGTCCTGGGGGTGCGGACCCCCTTTTCGCCAGAAAATTGCAATACTTTTTCTTTAATGCAATTGCCTCGCTTATACTACAGACGGGCAAGGGGCCCAAGGGGGAACCTAATTGAGGTGTATAAACATCTGGACGGGCACTACTCAGTCGAGTGTCCTTACCTTGAGCTGGCGGACGCTCACCCCACAAGGGGTCACAGCTCAAGGTTGAAGAAGCCACAAGTCCAGAAAACTGTGAGGGGGTCAGTGGTTTATGTCATCAAGTTTTTGGAAGCTCCAACAACTCCCTGAATACGAATTCGCAACTTTCGACTTACAACAGGTACCTACTGTACTGCTAGGTGAACAGGGACTAATGGGGGCTAGGAAGTAAGTCCCAACAACTTCCACCGGGCCGGGAATCGAACCCGTGACATCTCGCTTGCCAGGCAAGCCTTGACTCTACAGGCTTCTACGCCCTTAACTCATGAACTTAGCATGCTTCCCTGTTGGGCGCTGTAAACGCTTCTGCGCTTCACCTTACACAAGGATGTAGGGGAGTGCCCAATAAAAAAAAAAATTAAATAAATAAACCTGTGAGGGTAACTTTTTCGGAGTGAGAGTTGTGAACTCTTGGAACAATCTGCCAGAGAGTGTTGTGACGGCACCAAGTGTGAACTCTTTCAAGACCAGACTTGACCAACACTGGAGCGGGTTCAGGTACATTCAGGAGCCGGTGCATGCCCAGCACTTGCCAACAGTGCGTAACAGAGACGTGACCGATCACCCAAGCGGCTAACGAGTCGATCAGTGGTGAAGAGGATAAAAGTAAAAAAGTACAAGTATTGTACTCGGGTATTTTTGTATAGTAAAATGTAATTACTACTGGCCTCATAATATTTCCTAATATCAAGTGCACATGGCTTCAAAATGGCCTCAAAATGTCCATAATATTGGTCAGATTTAACAACCCCAAAAAATAATTCTGGAATGGTTTACAGTGCCCCCCCCCTTTTATATTCGTGGATCCGCCCTTAGATAGTGTATAAAGTATAAATAATCATAACATTTAATTACATGAGGGAGGGGGGGGGGGGTTCTTTAACAAGGAATTTCGGGGTAACTATAGTACAAAAAGGAGATAGGCAAGGAAATGAACACGAGTTATCTACGAGTTGTGTGTCTGCGTGTTTCATTGGATTCTGAATATTGATATGTGGAGAGTCAATCATCAGTAGGTAAGCGGTACTCAATAAATGGGGGGGAAATAGTTCATAAACATAATATTAATAAACTTGGGTGCAGTAACTCTAGTGGTTATGGATCACCTGCAGATTATCCCCTACCACAGGATGATTAAACACCTTAATGCTACCTGTGGGTTAGGTTAGGTCAGGTCAGATTAAGTTTGCTAAGGTACTTGATTAAATTGTTTGTATCTAGTTAAATTGTTGTACTGTATTTATTAAAGTTATACTGTATCTAGTTAATCTGTTACTGTACTATATACCATAACTAGTGACTCGGGTCCACTATATGTACAGTATACGGTATTTCAGATGGCTCGTGGGCGAGGAAGAGGGCGGAGAGGAGCCACCAAGCGCAAGACTACCGAGGACGAGTAAGTTATCATTATTGTTTGTACTCGGTGGGTAAATTATTGACTTAATAACTTGTCAAGCGTCAAAAGTGTGATGTTATACGATAGTGAAACAAGGGCAGTAATTGAGGCTTGAGTGAGCTGAAATGGAGAGGTGGATGTGAAATGTTAAATTGAAAGATTGGAAAAAATATTCAGAGCTTAGAGTATTGGTAGAGAAGGAAGGCTGAGATGGTTTGGTCATATGGAGAGAATGGGGGAAACCAACTGGGTGAAGAGTTGCATGAGTTTCAATGGGAAGGGGAGGAGAGCTAGTAGACCAAGAATGTGGAGGGAGGAGAGCTAGTAGTACAACAATGTGGAGGGGAGGAGAGCTAGTAGACCAAGAATGTGGAGGGAGGAGAGCTAGTAGTACAACAATGTGGAGGGGAGGAGAGCTAGTAGACCAAGAATGTGGGGGGAGGAGAGCTAGTAGTACAACAATGTGGAGGGGAGGAGAGCTAGTAGACCAAGAATGTGGAGGGGAGGAGAGCTAGTAGTACAACAATGTGGAGGGAGGAGAGCTAGTAGACCAGAATGTGGAGGGGAGGAGAGCTGTAGTACAACAATGTGGAGGGGGAGGAGAGCTAGTGGACCAAGAATGTGGGGGAGGAGAGCTAGTAGACCAAGAATGTGGGGGGGGAGGAGGCTAGTAGACCAAGAATGTGGGGAGGAGAGTTAGTAGGACAAGAATGTGGAGGGAAGGAGAGCTAGTAGACCAAGAATGTGGGGGGAGAGCTAGTAGGACAAGAATGTGGGGGGAAGAGACAGTAGACCAAGAATGGGGGAGGAGAGCTAGTAGGGACAAGAATGTGGAGGGGAGGGAGCTAGTAGACCAAGAATGGGAGGGGAGGAGAGCGCAGAGTAGACCAACAATGTGGAGGAGGAGAGCTAGGAGTAGACCAACAATGTGGAGGGAGGAGAGCTAGAGTAGACCAACAATGGGAGGGGAGGAGCTAGGAGTAGACCAACAATGGGAGGGGAGGAGAGCAGGGAGTAGACCAACAATGGGAGGGGAGGAGAGCTAGGAGAAGCAACAATGTGGGAGGGAGAGCTAGGGAGAAATAACAATGTGGGAGGGGAGGAGAGAGCTAGGGAGACCAACAATGTGGGAGGGGAGGAGAGCAGGGAGTAGGCCAACAATGTGGGAGGGGAGGAGAGCTAGGAGAGACACAATGTGGGAGGGGAGGAGAGCTAGGAGTAGGCACAATGTGGGAGGGGAGGAGAGAGAGAGTAGCAACAATGTGGAGGGGAGGAGAGCTAGGGAGAAGCAACAATGTGAGGGGAGGAGAGCTAGGGAGACCAACAATGGGAGGGGAGGAGAGCTAGGAGAGACCAACAATGTGGGAGGGAGGAGAGCTAGGAGTAGACCAACAATGTGGGAGGGGAGGAGAGCTAGGGAGTAGACCAACAATGTGGAGGGGAGGAGAGCTAGGAGGGCCAATGTGGAGGGAGGAGAGGAGCTAGGTGGGGAGCCAAGAATGTGGAGGGGAGGAGAGCTAGGAGGCCAAGAATGTGGAGGGGAGGAGAGGAGAGCTAGGTGTAGGCCAAGAATGTGGGAGGGGAGGAGAGCAGAGGCCAACAATGTGGAGGGGAGGAGAGCTAGGAGGGGCAAGAATGTGGGAGGGAGGAGAGCTAGGAGGGGCCAAGAATGTGGAGGGGAGGAGGAGAAGCAGGTGTAGGCCAAGAATGTGGAGGGGAGGAGAGCTAGGGAGGGCACAATGTGGGAGGGGAGGAGAGCTAGGGAGGGCCAAGAATGTGGGAGGGGAGAGAGGAGAGCTAGGTGTAGGCCAAGAATGAGGGGAGAGAGCTAGGAGGGGCCAACAATGTGGGAGGGGAGGAGAGCTAGGAGGCAACAATGGGAGGGGAGGAGAGCTAGGAGTAGGCCAAGAATGTGGGAGGGGAGGAGAGCTAGAGGGGCCAACAATGTGGAAGTGAGGAGAGCTAGGAGGGGCCAAGAATGTGGAGGAGGAGAGCTAGGAGGGCAACAATGTGGGAGGGGAGGAGAGTAGGAGAAGCCAACAATGGGAGGGGAGGAGAGCTAGGAGAGAGACCAACAATGGGAGGGAGGAGAGCTAGGAGGGAGCAACAATGGGAGGGGAGGAGAGCTAGGAGAGACCAACAATGGGAGGGGAGGAGAGCTAGGAGTAGACCAACAATGTGGGAGGGGAGGAGAGCTAGAGAAGCAACAATGTGGGAGGGGAGGAGAGCTAGAGACCAATGTGGAGGGGAGAGAGCTAGAGGGGCCAACAATGTGGGAGGGGAGGAGAGCTAGAGGCCAACAATGGGAGGGGGGAGAGAGGTAGAGTAGACCAACAATGTGGAGGGGAGGAGAGCTAGAGTAGACCAAACAATGTGGGAGGGAGGAGAGGAGTAGACCAACAATGTGGAGGGGAGGAGAGCAGAGGGGCCAACAATGTGGAGGGGAGAGAGCTAGGAGAGGCCAACAATGTGGAGGGGAGGAGAGCTAGGAGAGGCCAACAATGTGAGGGGAGGAGAGCTAGGGAGAGACCAACAATGTGGGAGGAGGAGAGCTAGGAGAGACCAACAATGAGGGGAGGAGAGCTAGAGTAGACCAACAATGTGGGAGGGGAGGGAGAGCTAGGAGTAGACCAACAATGTGGGAGGGAGGAGAGCTAGGAGAGACCAACAATGAGGGGAGGAGGCGAGAGGCCAACAATGTGGAGGGAGGAGAGCTAGAGTAGACCAACAATGTGGAGGGGGAGAGCTAGGAGAGACCAACAATGTGGAGGGGAGGAGAGCTAGGAGAAGCAACAATGTGGGGGAGGAGAGCTAGAGTGGGCCAACAATGTGGGAGGAGGAGAGCAGGAGTAGACCAACAATGTGGGAGGGGAGGAGAGCTAGAGGCCAACAATGTGGAGGGGAGGGAGAGCAGGAGTAGACCAACAATGGGAGGGGAGGAGAGCTGGGAGAGACCAACAATGGGAGGGGAGGAGAGCTAGAGGGCAAGAATGTGAGGGGGAGGAGAGCTAGAGTGGGCCAACAATGTGGAGGGGAGGAGAGCTAGGGGAGACCAACAATGGGAGGGGAGGAGAGCTAGGAGGCCAACAATGAGGGGAGGAGAGCTAGGGAGGCCAAGAATGGGGAGGGGAGAGCGCAGAGTAGGCCAACAATGGGAGGGGAGGAGACAGAGAGACCAACAATGGGAGGAGGAGAGCTAGAGGCCAACAATGGGAGGAGAGAGAGCTAGGAGGCTAAAGAAGGGAGGGGGAGGAGAGCTAGAGTAGGCCAACAATGTGGGAGGAGAGGAGCTAGAGGCCAACAATGTGGAGGAGAGGGGAGAGCTAGGAGTAGGCAACAATGGGAGGAGAGGGGAGAGCTAGGAGTAAACCAACAATGTGGAGGGGAGGAGAGCTAGGAGTAGGCCAACAATGTGGGAGGGGAGGAGAGCTAGGAGTAGACCAACAATGTGGGAGGGGAGGAGAGCTAGGGAGTAGACCAACAATGTGAGGGAGGAGAGCTAGGAGTAGGCCAACAATGTGGGAGGGGAGGAGAGCTAGAGTAGACCAACAATGGGAGGGGACAAGTAGGAGAGCAACAATGGGAGAGAGCTAGGAGAAAAATGGAGGAGAGGAGAGCTAGGAGTAGGCCAACAATGTGGAGGGGAGGAGAGCTAGGGAGGACAAGAATGTGGAGGGAGAGAGCTAGGAGAAGCAACAATGTGAGGGGAGAGCTGGAGAAGCAAATGTGGGAGGAGAGAGCTAGGAGGGCCAACAATGAGGAGAGGAGAGGGAGTAGACCAACAATGTGAGGAGAGGAGAGCTAGGAGAGGCCAACAATGTGGAGGAGAGGAGAGCTAGGGAGTAGACCAACAATGTGGAGGGAGGAGAGCTAGAGTAGACCAACAATGTGGAGGGGAGGAGAGCTAGGAGACCAACAATGTCATGGGGAGAAGTTTAAGAAACAATATCAAAACAAGAACCCTAACAAGAGAACATGGAGAACTGCCATCAAATAGCCATGGCTAGCCTGCACAACCATGGAATATGTCTGTAAAACGGCAATGATGATAAGGATGAGTAAACCCCAAATCGTGTTAGCATTCAGAAGTTGTGAGAAGTCCTATTGATGCACTGTAGACGAGTTATATTATACAGTACTGTACTTATACCACCACTTTTTCCTATCTCTTAATTGAATACTTTTGAAAATCCAAAAGTTGAGTTATTTTATCTTCTATATTGTATTTCAACCTGTAAAGAATAATTATATATCGTTTGTTATACCCAGTGAAGTGCCAGCTGAAGCTCAAGAGGAAGAGAGAGTGAAAATACTCAGTTGAGACGAGCCATATGAGGCCAAGGAATCTGAGCCACAGAATGACAAAAGAAGAAATATAAACCTGATGAAATTCTTCTTAGAACATATCCTAAGGTAAAGGTGACCATGTATTGGTTGTGTTGTCTGCCAGTTATTTGTGTTTTTTTTCATACATCTTTAACATCTCTATCTCTCTCATATATTAGGGTAGAAAAGTTCAAAATTATATAAATAGATTGTGAAATTAATACAGCACTGTCTGTGTTATATAATAACAGTAGTAGATTCTTATTGTTGTTCATAAATCAGGCAACTATACATGAAGATTATTCATGTATGCTGAACCAAACCAACATTGGCCAAACAACAACAAGTTCTACATCATTCAAGTGAATAAAGACAAGAAAAGTTTCATATGTTTCACTCGCTGGGGACGGTAAGTTTGTTGTTTTTCAATTTATCATTTCCATCATTTATCAGCTTAATAGCTATTTGAGCAGTTGGCCTTTTATAACTTTCATTGCCCAGTGTTAGTAGAGGAGTAAAATTGGATTACAGTACCAGGGAAACACTGCCATGTTTGGAAGGATCACACTGGATGACACCTTTCACATCTGCCGCAGGCCTGCAATTAAGCCCTGGACACTGGTGTGAGAGGTGCATGCTACTGCTATTCAACATTTATCTTGTTTACCTAATGGTCACCACTAGAAGTGGTAATGCCGAGTGAAGGAGGCCAGTGGCCTGCGAGGTGTCCTCCATTGTTCTTGAAAATTTGTCAAGGGCTACAGGTGTATTTTGAAGCACAGTACTGTTCTTGATTCCACAGCTTGGGCTGGTGCACTGTTCCGTAGGGTCTACCACCCTCTGTGTGAAGAAATATTTTGTGTTTGTTTTGCATGATAACTTGGTGAGCTTATAGTTATGTCCTTCATGTTGGTGGTGTAACATCACAAAAATGGCTGGTATATACCTGACTTGCAACCTTCCCAAATATCTTTGTGTCGTCTGCAAACTTGACACTGTGGCTCGATATGTTTTCATCTATTTTGTTTATGTTGATCACAAACAGGGTGGGTCCAGATAGTTTTGTGGTGCTCTTAAGAGAACCTTTTCCAATTCACAATGTACTCTATTTAATACTCTCTTTGTTGCCTGTCTTTGAGCCATTTGTTAATCCACGTCAAAATCTTGCCAATGCCATGTGCCTGTCTTGGAGTGTTGTGCATATATGGGGCACTAGTCAATGCCTTTGAGAAATCCTTAGTTTGTTGAGTCTGTAACTGTTTCATGGAGAGGAGTAAATTTGTCAAGCAGGATTTTCTTTCCATGAAATTGTGTTGTGATGCTTTGATAAGACTGTGTCGGTCAGGTGTTGGATGATGGCATCCTCAGAATTTTTTCAAAGAGCTTGTATGCTGTATATGGAACTTCAGGCTTATTGGCCTGTAGTTTTCTGCTGCTCTTTTTTACCCTTCTTGCTTACCGGGTGACATTGGAGTTTTCCAGTCCCTAGGCACTTTACTTTGATCCAAAAGATTTCTTGATTAATTCTTAGTGGAGTGCAAATCTCGTTCCACCTCCTCAGTCACCTTAGTCTGTGCTCCATCTACTCCGGGAGTTTTGAATTCTTTCAAGCTTGCTATTTTTTTTTGATGATATCTTCTTATCTTCTGTAATTGCTTTCTCTCTTAATTCACAAAACAACAAGAATACAGTACATTGCAAGACTTTATGTATACTGTAAATATATTTTATTTGTTGTTACACTTATGTTTGAAACCTTCAAAACATCTTGGCATATTCTATAACTTCTTTGGGTAACTTATTTCCCTCATAATATTTTTCTGTATATCTGATGTCCTTCATTACTGTACTTTTTACTTTTTACTCTTATCCTCTTCACTACTGATCAGCTCATTAGCTGCTTGGGCAGTTGGTCACGTCTCTGTTATGCACTGTTGGCAAGTACTGGGCATGGAATGGCCCCTGAATGTATCTGAACCTGCTCCAGTGTTGGTCAAGTCTGGTCTTGAAAGAGCTCACACTGTGCTGTCACAACACTCTCTGGCAGGTTGTTCCATGAGTTCACAATTCTCACTCCAAAAAGTTTACCCTCACAGTTTTCTGGAGTTGTGGCTTCTTCAACCTTGAGCTGTGACCCCTGTGGGGCAGGCATCTGCCAGTTCAAGTATGGACACTCAACTGAGTAGTGCCTCTGAGATGTTTGTACATTTGTTTAGCACTCTTGTACTTCTCCATGTGACTGCCAGTGTTTATTCTTGTATAGACTTCAAATCTGCCATATTTCTGAAGTGTGACTTGGTCAATACCTATTTAGATCTGACAAGAGAAGTATTTTGTTCAGAGTGATATTACCAAACTCTGCAGGCTTTTTCTGGGTGCTGCAGTTTCTTATACTAACACTGGACCCATAGGAGATGGCCTTCACTGGACCTCCAGTATAGATTGATAATCAGCCTACTGTACTGTACCTTATACCTAATACAGTAGTTTTTTATTGGGTTTTCTAGTAATGCAGTAGTTTTTTTTTTTTTTTGTGGGGGGTTTCTAGAAGAATTGAAATAAAATATATGACGTCCTACAATAATTTATGGCTAGTCACTGGAGGACCCCTTCTAGCATTTCAGTAATGATACTTCTTCATGCACATAACTCAGTTTGATTTGATTTAATTGTCATGTGATAGTTCTACATCTCCTAAGTGTTCACCTTATCTATACTGTAGTAATGTTAATTTGCTGTGGAGAAGAAGGCCAGTCCAACTCTGATGTGCATGCAGATGTTGATGGAGCAATAAATGCCTTCAAGAAGAAGTTTAAAGACAAGTCAAAAAATAATTGGGATGACAGAGAAAATTCACCACGTCCAGGAAAATACACTTAATTGAGATCGGTGAGTTATAATCGAGAATAACATAACACAGTAAGTCTGGCTGCCAGATGATAATGCAATGCTTAACTTTTACTTTCAAATGAAGACTTTGTTTATATTAATAATACATGAAACTAAATTTAATGACACTCACCAGTTAAATTATTTTGGAGCTTGCTGTGGTTTACTGCCGCTGCCTCACCCTACTGCACATATACTCCTCCTGATGTTGGCCTGCCTCAACCTTTCAAATCATTTTCATGTCCTATGACTTTCCTGGGCATCTTGGATGGTTTACCAACACATGCACTTGCAGGCTGTTTCAAAGACATAATGGCCATAAAATGTTCAACAAACACACATAGATAACGGAAATATGAAGAGACCTACTTGGGGGGGGCTACTGTATACATTTTGAGATGATTGCTGATTGACTTAGGTAATGTAAACAACAAAGATGGCGGCGAACTTTATCGTTGAAAGAGGTTTGATAGTATTGACCATTGCTTCTGATTCGTTTTTATTTTAACAGATGAAGATGAAGATGAGGATGAGGGTAGACACTGTTGACTCTGGGCAGCTGAAGAAAGAGTTGGTGCCCTTCTCTGGATCTTGTTCACTACCACACAGACTCAGGTCATGATTAAACTCATCTTCTCTGATGAAATGTTCGTAGACCAAATGTCAACTATGAAGCTTGGTAAGAAAGTACATTATCTAAGTTTAGATTGTGATTGTATTTGTATAAATAAACATTAGAGAAATCATACTATGATATTTATGTTCAAGTATTTTAACACTACAGTACTGTACAGAGTTTTCATAGCACAGGTACAGTAATGTATCTTTATTCTTAATTGAAATACTCTATTATAGATTCCTGCAAACAGATTTTAATATGTCATCAATGCTCCAATTTTGATGAGAGGCTGGTCACTGGCAGTTTTACTCACTCTCTTGAAGTTGTGGAGCAAAATTATGATCTTGATTATATCTGAGGATAGTGTGAACCATCACTGTAAGAACCACAGTCACTCAGGGGACCACAGTACAGCACGTGCACAGACAAAACCCCAGTCTCATACAGTACCGGTATATAAAATATAACTTTTATGTTTAGGTTAGGTTAGTGTTGACAAATGACAACCCGCTGGGATTTTGTCCGTTGGGTTTTGTCATGGAACCGTACACTGCAGACACTAGGTAAACACACTTTTTTATAATAAAATTAATGTAAAAAGCTTTTGGAGAAAGTATATTATAGCTGTAAAAGGTAGTGGAAATTGATAGTGGGTAAATTTATTGTTCGATATATTCTATGTATGCTGCCCTGTATTTATTATTACATAATTGAAAATACATAAGTTTTTGTTTTGCATAGTGGACAGTGTAAAGTGTTGGCTTGTTTATTTTTGTTCTTACTTTCCCTCACTCAGGGTATATTATAAACCCATCATCCAATGTAACTTGAAGTACTGTACTGTATTGACTTTTTAGAAATGACATGATATGAATTAGTGTGAAATGCAATTTGCTAGTGTATCACAGATGTCCGAAAAGATGCCTCTGGGAAAGCTGAGTAAACTACAGATAACAAAAGGTCTTGAGACTCTCTTAGACATAGAAGAGGCCATCAAGACCAATAAGGTAAGGAATATGTGTATAGTATCATAATATGGCAGCTTAACAAGTAGAAATTTATCATATATTTTTATCAAGGTTGTAACTGCCCTAGGGTACTGAGTGTCAATATTCCTTACAGCCTCGAGTGCTGTCAGAATTGTCATCCAAGTTCTACACCCTCGTCCCTCATGCCTTGGCCGCTCCGTCCCACCAGTCATGTACAAAGACAGTATGGTGCAGAGCAAGAAGGAAGACATGTTTACTCTCAGTGACATTGAGCTGACACAGAGCCTTCAGAAGGATATGGTAATGTTCCATTGTAACAACATCATCTTAATCTCTTTAAAAATGTTAAAATATTCTACAAAAGATTTTTATCTGTTTTATATTTATGAATGTGAGTTAAGTTAATCTTTGAGAAGAATCAGAAGAAATTAAGACTATTTTCATTCATGACCTAACATGTAATTAACCTGGTCATACTCTTGAAATAATACACTGTTTTACAGGCCAACAAGGGCATTCATCCCTTAATGGAGAAATATGAGATGCTGGACTGTGTTCTTGAATTAGTTAACAAGAAGGAACCAGAATTCAAGGTAACATTATCTTTTAATATTACAGTGCTGTACACTCATAAGGCCACATCACCCATCATATCTATGTTAGAGACGTTTACTGCTCTCACCCACACTGTCTAGATTTTCGGTGTTCGTCTTGTTGAATTACTTTGAAGAATAAGTTTTGTTCTTATACAGGGTGAGACACTTGCAGGTACCCCAGACTTTTACAAATACAGTATAACCGTTATTTATGAGACAATACAAGAGATTGAGAGACAAAACAATTGAGAATATAAAATATATATATATTTTTTTACAGAAAATTCCAAACACTAATGCAGTTGTACATACCCTGTATATCATAAATACTGGATACTGTATACAGCACAGTATTAGTGTTTTTTGGGGCTAGCAGTGAGTGAACAATACTGCACTAATGGTCTATTTATTGTGATTGTAGGTCTGACCAGCAGCATGCATAATTTACATTACAAATTATTTTACATTACTGTGTTAGTGGGAGATTGTCTGTTACTTCAACAGTACCTCAGAAATGTGTATAATTTTGCAGATCATTCAAGAATACATAAGCTGCCCCGACTCCAGACAAGGACCGTTGTTGGATTTGTGGCGAGTTGACGTGGGAAAGTGTCAGATGCCTAAAAGAAGTGACAAATTATAGTTTTCACATTACATTATGGTTTTAAAATATTTAAATAATTCAGATTCAGTTTATTCACTAACATCATCATATAGGTTGACATTAGTTGATTCACCATGTACAGTACTGTATGTAGACAATGGAATGGTTAACTAAAGATCAGAAGAGGCTAAGCAGTCAGGGTACAGGAAGATGGGAGGTCAACATACTGTATTGTTCCAGCCCTCCCTCCTGTAGGGCCAAGAGGTGACCTACCTGTAAATAGTGTTAACATAGTGCATGATGTAGCTTTAAGTAATACTGTATTACTAACCCAGAGAGAACAAAACCCAAGGGAAGCAGTGATTCTACTAACCCTCAAGACTCACAGCCTTCAAGAGGATAACACATGTATTAGAAACGGGTACCAATCAAGTGTTGGCACACACATGCAGACACAGAACAACCAGATATTATTGGAATTAGCATCTCTGGATCAAAGTACTAAAGTGCTTAGGGATTGGAAACAGTCAATATTACCACAGTAAACAAGAAGTGTAGAAAAAGTGCTGCAGAAAATTACAAGCCGATCAATCTCTTGAGAAAATTCTGAGGAGGGATGCCATCATCCAACACCTGACCTAGCACAGTCTTATCAAAGCATCACAACACAGTTTCATGGGAAGAAAATCCAGTCTGACAAACTTACTCACACTCCTTGAAATGATGACACACTACATGGACCAAGGCTTAACAGTGGATGTGTTGTATTGTACATAGATTCTCCAAGGCATTTGGCGAAGTCCTACTTGCCGACTAGCCTCAGATGAGGCACATGACATCACAGGCAAGATTTTGAAGTGGATTAACAACTGGCTTAAAGACAAGCAACACAGAGTGGTAGTAAATGGAGTATATTATGATTGAAAAAAGGTTCTTAGTGATGTACTACAAAGCTCTGTCCTTGGACGCACCTGTTTGTGATCTACATTTATGATATAAATGAAAATTTGTGGACAACATGAAGATATTTGGGAAGGTAGTACATCGAGACAATGTTGCAACCATGCAAAAAGAGCTGCACTAGGTGTTCAAATGGTCACAAGACTGGCAAATGCTTTTAAACATTCCCGAGTGTTGGTGGTACTGTAGGCGATAATGCGGGTTATCTCTCACCAATATGGGTTTGAGTCCTGCTTGGCCCGGATGCACATTAGAAAGGTGTTATCAGTATGACCCTACCAAACATCACAGATTTCTCCTGGGCACTCCAGTTTCCTCCAGGACTAACATTGGATAGACCAACCGCCAAAACAGCTTGTAAATAAAATGTAGGACTCTGTACTTAGGATACAACAACCGTAGTCACAACTATTCTGTTAATACCACTTTTCTGGACGCTGTTGAAATGGAAAAATTTAGATATTGTGGTAGATCATTCACTGATGGCAGCACAACAAGATGTCATTCAGGACAAATATAAGGAAATCTTCACAGAGGGGTGGTAGACCAATGGAACAGTCTATCACCTGAAGCCATGCTAACAAAAACAGTATTGGGCATCAAAATAGCCCTTGACAACTCTATAAAGAAACAATGGAGGGTTCCTACAGGCCACTGGCCTTCTTCCTTCAGTATGGCCACCTCTAATGGTGGCCATTAGGTAAATAAGGTTGGTAAATGCAGGTACTGTATACAATTTAGCATGTGCATAGACAATGCAGGGATACAATAACACACACTGCAGTATAAAAACAATGTACCTAGACAGTACAGGTATATAATCTACGGTAAACAGTTAGTCAATTCGACTAAGGATAACCAATAAAGCCATTCGATGCATATTTCCACTGTAATTTTGAGAACTTAAATCTATCCTTGTATGTTACAGATTTGCCTCTCATGATGACATCAAACATCGTAAGTTGCTGTGATGCAGGACCGAGGTGGCAGTAGTGGCAGCCATATTGAAGGCTGGACTGAGAATCATGCCTCACTCAGGTGGACTAGTGGGCCGTGGCATTTACTTTGCCTCTGAACATGCCAGAGGTTGTTGGTCTGGTAAGTATTAGGTGATTTATTGACTATTATTATGGAACAGGCAGTCAATTTTTAAAGCAATTGTTGTTGACATAATAATGTATTACAACACCAACAATTTAAGTCCTTGAGCATGTATTCAAGGTTAGTACCGGTAAGTACACTAGTAATCAACAATTAGAAGCAATGAGTGATACATCTCTATGGTTCAGCAAATGTTGTGGTCTATTGAGGATAAAGGTCATGACCCTTTATTAGTAACTTAATACCTGGACCAAGTCTGACAATAGATGCTGAATTCACAACTAGAATAACCACATTCAAAGTGACTCGGTGATTATGGATAATCTACATTCTCCTTGTACCTCCAGAGACCATCTCTGCTAATACTCTACCTATTGTATCCTCCTGAAGAAGAGATCCAAATAATATCTTGGATTTAACATAACTTTTACTACCCCTGGTCAGGTCACTAGCCAGTTGGGCAATCAGTCTGTTATCTGTTACACACTGTTGGAAGTACAGTACTGGCTCTGGGATGAACTCCCAAGATTCTCTGTTAGCAAGCAGGTCAACATCTTCATCAGCATTAGAAAACATATGGCCAGAAGACAGAGCAAAGTGAACTGAGGATCTACAGCTAATGGTATTTCTTTGTCTTCCTCAGAAAGCTTGGTATACAGTTTAATGATGAGGATGGCGAGTGAAAGGCCAAAACCACAAAAACAAATTTAATGAATGACTTAGTCCAAGATCAATAAATGAAAACAGTTACTTTATTTAACCCCTTCATTATGGGGATGCCACTTTCAATGTTTTTGTTTGGCTAATGCCAGACGATTTTATTCAGCAGAGAGGACCCCATACACATGGGATAAGGAATTAAAGTTGGGTGGAAGGGAAGGATATGAGGAAGGACCTTTACTCAACTTATCACACAGATCCATAACCAAGTTGAAAGCTTCAGGATTTAAAGTACAGTACAGTACTATATTAGAATCTGACAGGATAAATAAGGATCACAGTCACTTATGATGTAAGCAGAGTTAGGATCACAGTCACTCAGAAGTGTTAGGATGTATGCAGAGTTAGTATAATTCACTCAGAAGTGTTAGGATGTATGCAGTTAGTATAATTCACTCAGAGAGGTGTTAGGATGTATGCAGTTAGTATAATTCACTCAAGTGTTAGGATGTACAGTATGCAGCCACACATGTTCTAGTTCAACAAAACATCTGAAATCAGGGTCTTGGTATGCCTCTCACTATTGTGTCCTAGGTTTGATCTCTCCCCCAGGTCAGGTGTGGGAAGAGTATATTATCCAGTGTGACACTATCAAATATCACAAGTTTTCTCTGGGTACTGTTTTTTCCTCCTGTACTAACACTAGACAATGAAAGTTGTAACAAGAACAGACCAACTCCCAAATGGCTAGTAATCTGATAAGTGGTAGAAATGATAACTTAAAAAATTTCTATCAACCTCAATCTGAAAATGTAATTGCTTCCCAGCCTTATGGGTTATCTTATTGAAATGTCAATTGTAATTTTTAAACAAATTCTCGTCATATAAAGCAGAATGTTAAGAAATACACCTTTTCACATATCCGTTGAGACATTGTTACATAACTACTTGACAAATTTCATTACGAATGACAGACAGAACACATATTGAATGACAATCAAAAATAACTGTTGGTGCTATGTCATTCTCCAATTGTTACATTCTCAAACTATATGTAGACCGTCAGTTTATGTCTGTCAGCTTCATAACTTATGTCAATCATTTCCGTTAGCATGAACGAACAGTTATTTTTATTGTCATTCGAAATGTGTTCTGTCTGTCATTCGGTATGAAATTTGTCAAATAGTTATGTTACAATGTCTCAACGGATATGTGAAAAGGTGTACTAGCATACTCTATGAAGGCAATATTCTCATCGATAAACAAAAATCTTGTATATAGTAACAGAATTATGACATTTTAGGTTAAAGAAATTAAAGCTTTAATAAATCAATTTATCATTAACCAGAGTATAGTTGATCTTACTTGCTTACCTGTGTTCTAGATAAAGCCTCATATTTATCCACATCTTCATCTGGTTCTCATCAAGAGGTGACTAAGGCAGGGAAGGAAATCAAATGGTCTGTGTAGGTTCCCCATTGTTCATGATTGTCTTATCAGGGCTATTTTGAAGCCCAGTGTTGTTTTTGTTAGCACAGCTTCAGTTGGCAGACTGTTTCATAGGTCTACCACCCTCTACATAACAATATTATCCCTTATACTGTGCTGTATTTATGTGGCATGACACTTTGCTGAGCTTGAAGTTGCATCCTCTTGTGTTGGTGGTGAATGACTTAATCAAAAACTTCTTCCATCCTCTCAAGATAATGAATGTGTCATAAAGTCTGCCCCAGCATGTTGTCTATAACACTCTGGGGCACTGTAATTAGATGGGCTTAAGAAATAATTGGTTATTCAGTCTTAGGTTAAAGACTTTAACTAAATTTGATGTCTTCAGAATTAATTGTAAGCTTTTATAGAAGCAGCTTCAGAACACATTGATAACTTTATATTTTCATTTAACACAGTGAACATTAAGACATCAAATGAGGCCACCTCAGTAGTAAGGGCACAAGTAACATTTTTAAAATCGAGAAAAAGCGACTTTGTGAAACACCCATTGGCACATGGGGGTGCCTACCTGCCTTGCTGGTAGTAATTATTTGGTCATATGACTGGTGTATGCCTTGCCTTCATTCTGGCCTTTTTGCAACATTACTCTTCCACGTGTGAGGCCTGCACGTTCGTTTACGGCCAACCTCGGGTTCACTCGCCTCACTTTCACTCACAACAGGTGATGAGTCATCCACATACAATACACTTTGTGATAGGGAAACCTTGTTGAAACTTGCTGTGGTGGTAACTCGCGGTGGTTCCCCTTACTACGGTGGCCTCAAATGAAGTGATGGAAAGTGAAGACATTGTTATCATGTCTGATA